TGTGAGGGTTTTGGCTTTGGCTGTAAGAGTGACCAATACTCACCTTTTGATTACATCGTACACAGCACAGGAGCAGAATAGCAAAGAAGATGAATTTTTTTCATCTGGAACACTCTGGAATTCTGCCCGGAAAGAATTTCACAGATAATATCCATGGGTTAATAGAGATCAGAGGATCTCTCTAGATCGAAGCTGCCGATGGCAATAGCAGCGGAAACCTCTGACACTGCATTGATTCTAGGCTGCTCTGAGACACATGCACTTTTCAATGAAGTTTTTGATGATGAATATACCTAACAACTCCTTCATTACTGATCCCCTTATCTGTCATTTGTATATAACCGAAGAATGGCAGTAAATAAATCTGGCATTAGTTGGGCTTTCTGACAGTATTGTGGTGATGTGCCAAGGGAGGAAGAGACAACATAAAAGCTCTCTCATTTACCCACAGAAATCCTCGTCAGAGTGATGGAGTCATTCTGGGATGGAGGACTGCTCCACTGGATGCAAAGTGGTGAAACGTTAATGGTGTTCCTGATGTACTGGAAGCACAAAGTGCATTCCTGCAGCACTGCACTTCTCTGGGAGAACCCGCAGGAGATCCTGACCGGGGCTGAACTCACCCCAGCTTGTAAACAATGTGACAACCTGAGGCAGAACACTTATATAATGAAGCTCTCACGGAAATCTGACTTCATAGAAAGCAGAAGATCAATGATGGAGGAAATCTAGAAAACACGTTTTCAAGCTCTGTGGGAGAAAATACTGGGTTTGATTTGAGCTGGGTCAGTACCCTGCCTTCTCCAGTCTCCCCATTGATTCACAGCAGAGTCAAACTCTCGTGGAGAATAATTTGCTCCCAGAGCTTCGTATTTCAGCATTCCTGATAAAGAAATATAGTATGGGATTTATTTTTTTTTTTAATTTTTTTTTTTTTAGAGAAAATTCAGAAAAAATGATCAGAGGAACAGACTGTTTTACAATATTTGTGTTGCAGTACAACTGTGAGAGATTCTCTGGATTTTCTTTGCAGGAAATGAGAAGGCGGAGAGGAGGAAGTGGCTTTAAAATACTCTCTGGTTTTGTACACTGTGAGTTTAATGTATGTGAAAAATGGAACATCTCTGTGCGACGGCACAGACCTGCTCAGACTTGGGAAACTGCTCCTGCCAGCCCTCCAGCAGCTCAGGTTAACACAGGAATGGGTATTTTAATACCACACCTCCTGTAAAATGCTGGGTGCTTAAAGTGACCTGAGGTCTAGGACTGAAATGATAATTATTTCACTAACCTCAGTTAGTGAAATCAAAGTGCCATTTAACCCTAAATTATGCTACTACATGAAAACAATATTTTCAGAAGTCACACAGACATTGTTTACTTTTGATGTCAGTGAGACATCCTTCCAGGTCAATGTAAATTACCGTGTGTTTACTTTCAGCAGGTAGGGAACATTGACTGGAAAACTAATTCAGTGCAGATGGATCTTGGCTTCTGGCTGGCTGAATATTTTGCTAAGCATGAATACATAAAGCTAAATTATCTACACAGTTCTATATTAAATATTAAATGGAACCACTATTTAGGAAATAGCCTCAGCTCGGCCAGAACTAAAAGCAATTATTTTTCTTTAAGGCTGGAAATGATGCAGTTTACCTTCTTACTTTCCATTTGTTATCTCTTTCAGTGTTATGGAGCACTCCAATATCGGATGTATTGAGTGGAGGCGATAAAAATGTTTGTGCAGAGCATAAATGAACTTTGAACAAATATTAATAGAACTATCACAGCAACACGAAGGGCAATGATTGGACCTGTAACTTAACACCTGCTCCCATAGAGGAGCATGGATGCAGCCATGAACCATCTGACCATCATCTCCTCCTACTTCAGAGTGATCAATGGGCACACACACATACAAAGCTAGTGATGGACATGTGAAACAAAAAGAACAGAAAGAAATAAGCTGGAATCTGAATAACTCCTCTTTGTAGGAAAAGGATGAAGTTGTAGGTCCAAGCAGAGCTCCAAACCCAGCTTTCATGCCAGAGAGAGAGGGCCTCAGGAAGGGGATGCTGGCACAAAAAAGAGAACTGCATTCAATCTCTCTTTAATAATTTATCTCAGTGGCCTTAAGCAATACATTCTGTGTGATTTGAGAAACACCTGCATTTTGAACCGGCTGGGCTGTGTCACACATTTTCTGGTTGAAGAACACTTGTAAAAGCTTGAGAATGGTGGGTGACATGACCCAACACATCACCCAGATAGACAGACTGCCAGCAAGTCCGTGGCAGCAACAGAGGTGTGACAAATCCTACAAGATCATGAAAGCTGTAACATCAGTAGGAGAAACAGGTGGACAGATTAAAGTCTGGCTCATTAGCTGGGGAACGGTTACTTTGGTGACCTGACCTCCAGTCTGTCTTGTTCCTGCAAACTTTCTGCAAAATACCTCTAGGAGAGACTGTTTCTGCCTGAAAGTCTTTGTCCAGCTTCTTATTATCTTGTGTTCCAATTACCACAATGTATTCTCCTCTTGTCTTGACAGCTCCAGTTGACCCCTGGTATCAGGAAGAATGCTGCTACATTGGCTGGTTTTCATCATTTCTCTTTTTGTATCCCTCTATTTTTTTTTTAATTGTTTTTGTTTTAAACTCTTTCACATTTCCATTTCCACTCTTACGGCTTTGCTGACTTATCCTCTCCCCATCTCTTATTCATAAATGAAACTACTCTGCTCAGTGAGTAATGCTGGGCTCCATCATTAGATTGCTATCTTTTCAAACACACACTCTTGATCTCTGCCTTGCTGCCCTTCATATTTTTGCCCAGGCAGCACAGCTTCTGCAGAGTTCTTTCACACCCCTCCTACATACTCTTCTTTAGGTTATGCTAGCACAAAAATGGGTAGCAGTCTTCTGTGGGACTGATACTGTGCATATGGTGCTAGCCAGCATCATCTCAGCGTGTCCTTACAACTACTCTGCCTGCAGCCAGCATTTCTTTCCTTAGAATATAATACTATTTGTGGTGGTGAACATCAGTCTGCTCTGCATTTATATGGCCACTAACAAAAAGTTCTGCTTTATAACCGGGTTTAGAGGAGTTACAGCAATAAATAACACATGGATTTGATGAGAAGTCAAACGATATAAACAACTGCATATTATCACCAAATATAGAGAGAACGAGATTGGTTTGCTCATGTTCTGCTGAGGTGAATCCCTCCCGTGCAGTTATGGAAGATGGCACAGTTATTGGCAACATGCTTTCTAATGACTCTTATTACAGAAAAATATGTCTTCCAAATAAATCACAACACTGGCAGTCATTGTGCAGTTGCATGAAACACAACGTTTGGTATTTTTCTTTCAGTTTCATATGCAGTCATTCAAAGTTTTATTGCCAGCTTTAGAAGCAGCGAAGTTATTGCCCACAGTGGATGTTCAAACGACATGCAAAGATCAGCGTGTGCTTTATTCAGCCCAATTTTTCTTACGTGACTTCCTCTCTCTTAAAGAAGCGTAGGAAACTTCAGTTGGAGTTTACAGGTGTGCGTGGCACATGTACTCTGGTACATTCTGCCATCTGCTGAGCACAGTGAGAACTGCTCACACCGTCAGAGCTGAAATGGATTAAATCGCGTCTATCTATTCCTGTGCTATTTTAAACGCAGAAAAGAATGCAAGCAAAACAGCAAGCAGATCCGAGGAAGGACAGAACTCAAAGGCAAGGAAGTTCAGCGCAGCATAGCAGTGTGTTGGGAAAGGTGAAATATTTGTAGAGAAAGAAAAGGAAGAAGTAGGCTGGGACAAAAGGAGAAATAAGCAGATGTAAAAACAGAAAATCAAGCCTGTATTTTTTGGTTGATTTAGAGGTTGTACTTTGCCCTTTGGCACTGTGTATTTGGTAAACATTTTGAGCAAGCCATCCACATATTTTTATTTCTGATAAGACCAGCATGTTCCTAATTGTTTAATGTTGTGGCTAAAGTCTACATTTCAAATGCAGAAAATGTATGAAGCAAAAATAAACAAAGTATTTAAGATCACAGCAGGAAGGATCTGACACAACCTAGCTTCTTGTCTGAGCTCCCAATGTCCCTCACTCCCCCTCACAGGCTGTGAGTCAGCAGGCAAGGAGGATACTGAGATTAGAAACAGCAAACTGTGTAACAATGATTACACAGATGTTATTTTGGTTGCACTTGAGATGTTCCTGCAATTAAAATCTGCTAAATTAGGAAAAATGCACTGATCGGAGCATCAGCTGATAGCTATGTAGTTTTGACTTGATGACCCCAAATGGCAGAGTCACAACAAGTTTCTATGCCACCCAACAATATGATTCGAATCTGAACTCCTTGTCACAAATTAAGCACAATCCAGACCCATTATTTCACTTTTCCTGCCTGCACAGCTGGCACTGTGGACAATGAGAGAAGTAGTAAAGCAAGGGCTAACTAGTTATCTGCTAATTGAAAGATGATGACTGGCAATGTGAATCAGACAAAACAGGCCCATGGAGCCTGACGTTTCAGGCCAGATCATCATCCAGCATAAACCACCATTAAACTGCTGTTATCACTGGAGGCCTAAGACAACATGAATCATTTTGATTCTGTGATTCTGTGATTTTGTTTTTAAAAGACTTCTACAACTCTTGTATGTGGAAGAGTACAAGCTCAAGTGATTAACAAAAGCTTCTCCATGACAGTTTTATTCTTTGATCCAACCATTCTCAGCCTCTACAGATGCTGAGAAGATGATTTTGTTTCCTCAAAACCATCGGTCCCTTCAGGAGATGCTCTGCAGAATCAATAGGAGGCATTTTTAGTAGAGACTTTGAATCCCTGCATTATGTGCAAATGCAACATGTGATGGTTGTATCATCCTTTATTCCAGCAACACAAGGACCCCTTTATCTTCTGTTTACTTGGGTGGGAATAAATACAAAGAGTTAATATGTAACCATCCTTTTATGGATGCCTTTATTTTTAAGGGGGGAACCACTGGCCTGAGAGTCACTGGGGAAGCTGGTGGGCTGGCAGCAATGTACTCCCTGGCCCTGCTTCTGTGTGTGGCTGCTCTGACCCACTCTGCTCTTGCAGTGAAAGGTAAGTGCCTGCCTTCCATTTCCTAACAGCCAGTGCTACCCTGGGGTGTAACTGAGGGAACCAGGAGAAAGAGAATAGATTGTAATACAGAAACTTGAATATCTCAAGCTTTCTGCTTTACTTTTTGTAAATTTTCTTCTCTCTTCCAGTCTGTCCCAAGCCACCAGAAGTGCTGTTCGCCACAATCAATGTGGTCAAAAATGAGTATAATGTGGGTGAAGAAATAGAATACACCTGCAGGCCAGGGTTTGTCCCCAACAACGGCCAGAGGAAGTACATCTGCCAGCCCAATGGCAGGTGGCCTCTCAACACGCTCTTATGCCTACGTAAGTAAGGGCTCATCTCAGTGCTGCTTATACTACAAATGACATACACTGGTTGACAATATCTGCCTATCAATTGCTATTCATTTTTATCATTTAATTGCATAACAGCTGTTTTCCTCAGACAATCAACTGCAGAAAATATTTTCATCACAAAAACTTGGAAACTATCATTGCTATGTTTTGATAGAAATGTAAAGCAGGTTATGAAATGTAGTACGCAGAAGTGGAAAAACATGGAAAGCACTCAGACCCTTTTAAGATCAACCCGTTCACACTGTGCTAGCTTCATGCCTCGGGAAATAATACTATCCTTTTTTAAACTTTGATTAACAGCAAAGAGATGTCCCACCCCTGGACTCTTGCAGCATGGAACAATTGATTCTAGAGATTTCCACTACCAGAGTTCCTTAAGTTTTTCATGTGACCCAGGGTAAGCGCTCCCTTTTTCTGTGCTACTCAGTACAAAATCTAAACCACAGCACTATGCTGTACTATTGTGTTCTGCAGCATTGCAAGCCAAGGAACTCAGAAAATACCACACTAAAATCCACCTGCATTTTGGAGACTCAAAAATGGAATATCTGGGGGTTCTTCTCTGTTTAGTTCTGACTTGGGGCTTTGCTCCTCCAAAGCAATGTCCTGCAGACATGAAAACTATGAAAATAGCAGAAATTTTATGCAAAGATTCATTCCAGACCACTTCCCCTTGCTTTTAAAATCCTCTTATTACATCATGAGATGAAATCCTACAGCACAGAAAGGATAATCTCCGTCTGAGTCATCATGCTGTCAGGATCTGGAGGCTGAAAAATTTGTTTCCGTATCTTTCTAAGCTCAGTAAATGAAAACATGAGCTTAATCCTAATTTAGTCCCTGGAGCAAATGCACTTTTACTGAAGGCTGCCTCCTGGTTTTAGAAATGAGCATGCATTTAAAGAAACATAGTTAAGTTCAATGCAAGGAGATATTTGATGGCAGCATGCAATCACTCTGTTTGAGCAAGTAATTAATAAACAGTGCTTACCTGGGAAGATCCTAGGTGAGCCATAGGCCAGAGTTCACTGAAGAGTGCTAAAACTTCAGTTATCTTCCTTTTCTGCAAAACAGACAAGAGAAGGAATAAATTAATTCACCTATGATATCAAATGTAGCAATAGGACTTGAATTGATTTGATTTCACTAATGATAATTTACTGGGCTGCAGCTATGTGATATTTATACAATCGATACAAAATGAGCATTTCTTTAAATATCAGTGTTAGTAATAATATATGTACAGAGGAGTAGGGAGAGGGAGGCATTTAGAGAGATTACACATGTAAATTAAATTGGCATTATAATAAAATAATGCATTTCAGTAACTTCAGGGATTGACTGCTGAGTTCTTTACAAAGAGATTCATCCTAATTGCCATAACCAGCCACGAACTGCTCCTAAGAAACTCTAAGATTAACATCACTGATCAGTGCTCACTACTTACAAATATCCACAATATCAATCAGTCATAGGAATTATTATAACATTAAAATAGAATATAGAGTTGAAAGTGAAATATGTTGTTGTATCAAGCATTCTTTCTAGAAATCTGAAATATCTGGATATTAACATATTTTCATGTTTGAATCTAAACTTCTTTTCAGGTTAGTAAGTGCTTGAATTAGAGAAGAATTTCAGAACTGGGCTGTTATTAAATCTGCATATGGGAAATGGAGATCTTCACAAAGAACAAACTGATTTTTCTCCATACAAAAAGGCTCATTAAGTTTTCTGATAACCAGATCTTTCTGTTTACAGTTACAATCTCGTTGGGTCAAGGACAAGCCAATGCATGTCAGATGGCAAGTGGAGTGGAATCCCCCCCCAGTGTCAACGTATGTGATCAGATACCCCAAAACTACTGCTTCCTTATTGTTATTATGGAAGGGTTCCTTTACATCACTCAGAATGACATATACTCTTCTTCAGAAGCCTCCCATTGCAGTGTTCTAAAAAAAATTAGGAATAATCAAGAAGCAGCTTGTGTATTTTGTTTTAGAGGTGTGGGTTCTATTTATAGAGAAATACAGTTTAAAGTTCTATGTAAAAGGTGAGGATCAGAGATGCTATTTACAACTGAAGGTAAGATGTTTGTCCCATCAAATTCATCTTCCCTGTATATAAAGATGAGAATGGCATCATGATTTACAGCTACTATGCATGTTTTTTGCTGTGACCTGTCCTGCATAAATGTTTTATGGAAAAAACACAACACTGTATAACATAGTATAAAAAATACAGCAAAAATCATGAATTACACATGGAAAAGCTCCTGAGACTTTTAATCAGATCTTTTTTGCTTTGGTAGCTATATTTCCACAAGGCACTGTGTGTGGGTTACTTTGGCTATAAACAAATTGCTCCTGTGATAACAATTCAGTTCTTAAGCTTTTCTTTCTAAGAATGCTGTGTTTTTCCAGCTGTGACTTGTGCACCTCCCTCAATTCCTGAATTTGGAGTCCTTTCTTACCGTCTCTTAAAGCCTGGAAATATTTCTTACTTTATGGACACAATTGTTTTCGAATGTGTACCACCTCTGGCACTTATTGGAAATGAGACAGCAACCTGCCAAGCCAATGGCACCTGGAGCAGCATTCCGGAATGCAGGGGTGGGTAACTGACTTTCAGCACCTTTGAAACAAAATCCTAGAATTGTATGTGTCAACATACAAAAAGAGTAATTATTTCCCAGGAAAAAAAAAAAAAAAGCATATTATTTATAAACATACAGCACACTCATTCTGAAAGTCAGAATCATGAATGCAAGGTGATGGCTGACAGTGTCTGCAAGACTGCACACAAGATGGGATTGACAAAACATTTGCTGCAGGTATGAAGGTTGTGCAAACAAGGCTGTGAAACTGCTCCCAGTGTGGAGGAAGCCTGGCTGCCCAAGTGCAGGGACACCACTCTGCTAAATGCTGGCATTCATCTCAGAGGCAGGCAACCTCATCCTTAGGCTAGAGAATGGAATGTGAAATGATACCACATTTTGGGTACAACCACAACAGATGTGTTTAAATTATTTATTTATCTATAATATTTTCCCTGACAATGTTCTCCAGTGCAAGGTGCCAAAATGAACCAGTATAAAAATTTTACATGCATTTTTGAAGTACATACTGCATCTTTTAGAACTGCAGCAGTGACAAAGCTTCGTTTCTCGTTTGTTGTTGCACCGCAGCTGTCACTTGTCCTGCTCCAACTGGAATAGAAAATGGGTTCTTGAATTTTGCTGTTCGTAGAACATATCACTACAATGAAAGTGTCAGCTTCAGCTGCCAGTCCAGATATGTGCTGGAGGGACCTAAGCACTCCCGATGTGAGAAGACAGGGAACTGGTCCACAAAGCCATCCTGCAAAGGTACACATATAGAATCTCTTAGAAACCACCAATTTGATTTCATTTTCCCAAAAGAGCACCACTGACTGTCAATGAGTTGTTGCACCTTCGTGTCTTTTCACAAGTAAATTGAAGCTGTGATTTCAAGGTCCTGATAATCTGACTCCCAGCATTCAACATTCTACACTGTGATGTATTGGAACCAGCTCCAATAATCAGACACCAAAATGTATTATATATGAATATTTCCTGTCCTCTTTCTATTTCATATAATTAGGAATTTTATTGGGGCTGAGTTTTCACCAGAATTTTTTGCTCCTGTACGCAGGTGTGCAAAGTTCTTCATATCATAATATCAGCAGAAGTATTGCATATGTGTGGGCCACAGCATTTGTCATTCTCTAATGCAAATTTCTCATGGGATCTATTCTAATCGTGTTTCAAAAGAGAGCTCTAACCATCCTTATGTGTTGCTTATAACTGGATTGTTTTACAGAGCCATGTAAAATTCCAGTAAAGAAAGCTGTAGTATTATATGAAGGGGAGAAGAAACGAGTTCAGAGTGATCTTAAGGAAGGCATCATGCATGGTGAAACTATATCCTTCTACTGCAAGAATAAAGAGAAATCCTGTGCCTACACCGTGCCTGTTCAGTGTGTGAATGGCAATCTCACTCTCCCTTTCTGCTTCAAAGGTAAGAGCTGGGTTAATTTTACCACAGCTGCCCGTCTGTGTCAGGGGGCAGTGTCCCAGTTCGTCTTCAAGCTGCATTTGACCAGCTGATTCACCTGACTTGTGCTAAAGTTCTTGGGCATTTAGGAAGCAATCCTTCTCCTGCTCCCAAGAGGTGTTAATTAGAGGCCTAGCCCAGCCAAAGGGCCAGAGGTGAAGTGTTCTGGGATTTCATGAATCCTTGGGTCAACTTCTAGAGCCTAGATCCTACCTCAGACTGTCCTGTTCACTGCTGCTCTGCTGAATTGCCCCCACATGACTCTGACTGCTTCTGACATTGGGACAAGAGTTAAAAAGCAGCTGGCAGCTATCCTGATGCTGGAGGAACTGGTTCGCAGGCACTCTGTTGTTTAGAGTAAATGAAGGGATGAAATAGTAAAGTTTATCAGCAAGAGGAAGTGCTTTGCACCCGTTTTGTCAATATTCCTTGCAAGTTTCATTTCATTCCTAAGTGAAGGAAAGAACACAGACTACCTATGGTCAAAACCTCCTTGTGCTTGGATTGCCCTCAGGTGGACATCATTTAGCTCTTTTTAAAGTAGAAATTAAAATAGTGAATTTCTTCCAGCAGTTTACAGCAAGCAAAAATTCACTGCTTATCTAGCAGAGCCCTTGAGACACACTGTTTTCAGCCATTGCACATTGTAAGACTTTAACCCAAGGTCTCAACCTCTTGTTTTCAACAGAGCGTGGCTTCTTTTCAAGCCTTGTTAAGACGGACCCATCGAACATGAAACCATGCGAAGATCTGAAATGAGTCAAAGAAGTAAAGCAGTACCGAATGTCTTACAGACACAGATACGTGGATACACAGGACAACTTAAGACCTCTGAGTGTAAATTCCAGGCAAACCTGGGAAGAGCTGAGTACGCAGTCTCTGCTCTTTCCCCTGCTGCTGTTATCCCAGCCTCCTTCACAAGCTGTGACTCATTATTTCAGCCATTAACTTCCTCTGCCTCCTTCAGCATCCCTGCTACACTACTTCTCTTTCAATATTTCCAGCTTTTATGTCATTGTAAATGATCTTCTCAATAGCAACCCCTTTAGAATAAAGTAACTTTTGGCCAATAGAGTGTTTTGATTTAATATCACCTAGACATCAATCAAATCCTTTAGCTCTTAACTGATTTATAGAAGGCCTTCCTTATGAGTAATTAGCTGAGTTCTGATTCCATTTCCTCTGTTACGTGATAAGGAGCCAACCTTTAATTATAGATGGACAGAAGGTCATCAGCCTAGGATTTTCCAGAATTTAGGCAAGCAGAAAGCTGGAGCTTTCCAAAATGTGTTTAGTGGCTAAGTGTCCCACAGAAAAACTAATTGCATCAGATAAAGGATTCTTCCATACTTCAAAAATATTGCTAAAATTAATGACACTATTTACGTTCTCATGACTTTAATATTACATGAAACTGCTGTTTAAAACAGCAGTTAATGTTTAACTCTGTTTAAATATTATGCAATGTAGCTGGTTCCTTTCTAAAGAAAGAAAACTGTGCACCATTGAGCAATAATAATGATTTCTGGTCAGCAAGCAGCTTTGAAGTGATCTGTAATTTTCATTCCATTATAGGAGAACCACTGCTGTGATTGAGTCTAGCAAATGTTGTGCTTATGTCTGTATTTCTAATCAGAAAAATACTTAAAATTTCAACTTACTACTAAGTGATGGAGGAATATTTGTTGCATGCTTACAACAACTTATAGTGAAGCACATGTGATTCTCTCTTTTTCTCTGTGATAAGACACAGAAGTAAGCGACACAGCAAGCAACCTACCTTAGAACTTTTAGAAAGATCCATTTAGCATTAATATCAACATCAAACTAGCCACTCTGCTAAAGCCACTCTTAAGAAAACTTTGAACATACTCCCAGCAGCTTTTTTTTATCTTTTAAGGATGCACATAAATATTTTAATAGTATTCCCAAAATCATTTGTTCTTGTTTTCCTATTTTTAAGGAGAGGTTGAATCAATTACTATCATTTAGTACTTGGTTCTTATCAGCAGATAAGAGAAGCAGAAGCTGCCTCTTCAGTTGTTAAGAGTAAATTTGCCTATTTTGTGGCACAATGTGAGCTGTGTTTGATTGCCAATATGTTTAAATGGAACCTCTAAAGGATGTCTGACTTAAAAGCCAAAATATTCATAACCACCTTAAATACATACGCAGATCACCTGGCAGGAACCTATCTGTTTGGAAATCTAGTCTGAACATTGTGTGGGATCTGGATATTCAGGACACTAACTGAGATACCAAACACAGTTTAATATTAACTTGTCTTTCAGAGTTAAACACTGTGAAGCTGGAATAAATAAAGTTTTCCCTGAAATGATCTGTATTTTGCACAAAAACCGTTGCTCCAGGAACATACAGATTTTTCTAAGCAATCTTAACAAGCTTTCCCTGTTACAGCAGGATGACAACCATCACATCAGCTGGCCCCGCTTCCTAGCTGGATAAGCAGTATTTGACTACTTGAAAGAATCACCCTTAGGAGTCAATGTTCGTATGCTGAATTTATTATCTAGTCTCCCAAAGGAAGAAGGATAGGGGTGGGAGCCGGGGGGGGGGAGGAAATCTATGACCTGATAAGTCTTTGAAGTAGTGAGGTGTTTGTGAATCACAACTTTTCAGACATGAAAGGTTTGCTTAGGAGGTCTGAAAAATAATGTATTGCAACTAGAGGTGTTCCAAAGGCTGGTATGAGTGAGTGAAACCTGTCATTTTATTTTTTAGATGTTTGAAAGAATGCCGTAAGCTGTGCTTGTGTTACTTGTGGCAACCTGCTGAGACAGTTAGAGAGATAAGAGAATGCGGTACATAAAAGTACCATGTGTTTCACTTAAATGAACATATTTTTACAATTCAAATTGGGAATTAGTTCTGTATTCTGGCTGCAATATTTCAGTGTTCTTTAACTGTATACATGGAGTTTTCCTTTGGAGGCTATGCATCGTGTCCAGCTGCAGCTTTGGATGAAGACAAGACCACCATCTTTGCCTGAGCATTTTGTTTTTCCTTCTTTTTGCACTAAAATTAAGCAATTGTCACATAAATCCAGGTAGTCTTCAAACTCTCTGGCTGCTTGCATTGGTAAGCAGACCCAGAATCTGGTTCTATTCCCTCAATAAATTTATCCTAGAGAACTGGTTCATTTCACTGGTTCTGCCCTGACTCACATTCTTTTTCACCAGCAAATATAAGAGCAAATTTTCTTTTTCAAAGAGAAGAGTTTTGTGATTAGCATGATAGAGATATTCATCTCTGAAGGCAATCCTTGGATATGTACCAATGAAGAGCATACAAAAGAGTTGGCTTAAAAATTCCCTTTTCAAACATCAGATTAAAACAACAAAAAAAGGGCTTGTGGTGGTGAGCAGAAATACAAGCCTCACATGTTACCTAGTCAATATGCTGCCCTTGAAAATCCTACTTGGAAAGAGATGTGTTGTTACACCCATCAAACTTCCCATAGCCTGCTCACTTACAGTCCTCTGTGTTGGACTGACTTGAGCAGATCAGTTTCATTATGATTACAAAATTCCCATGACAAATCTGGGCACTGTAAGTGATGATTCAGAGGCGGAAATTTCAGCAGTTCAGCTACTAAAGCAAGTCAGTCTCCTGGTAGTCTTACTGTGTTGGAAAAATCTATCTATCTATATATTTCCATTTGTTAATCATAATGAAGACGCGGTCCAAACAGCAACAGCTAAAAGTAATTTCAGCCAGTATCCAACTAGCAGCAATTAAAATAAAGAATGCAACACACCCAAGAATTACCTTCCATTTCTTTCAAGTCTTTGCTTTTAGGGTGCAGGCTGCAGCACAGCGCTGAGGCACCTGGCACATCCCCTGTGCAAGGTTCCTGGGGGACCTCACGGAATGCCTGACATCTCCTGCTTCTCTGTGGGTGCTGCCTCATCCTCTGCTGGGCCCTCTTGATGTTTTTAATGCGTGTGCACAGCAATGTGTGTGCACAGCAATGTGTATGGATACATTGCTCGGCTTAGAGAAGAGCGAGTGAAGGCCTCACTGCGGTCTGCAGCTTCCTCACAAAGGGGAGCGCAGGGCAGTGCTGACCTTTGATAACAGCGATAGAACATGAGGGAGCGGTGAAGCTGTGGCAGGGGAAGGCCAGGCTGGATAACAGGGAAAGGTTCTACAGCAGAGGGCAGCAGGCACGGAACAGGCTGCTCTGGGCAGCAGTCACCGAGCTGCAGGAGCTCAAGAAGCGTCTGGACCACAGTCTCAAACAGAGCTAGATTTCTGGGGCGTCCTGTCAGGAACCAGGGATCGGACTTTATAATCTTTATGCGTCTTTTCCAACTGACGATATTCCACGATTCCACATCTAAAATATTCAGCCACGTACGACGCTTCTTTACATCCATCACCGCCTGGATGGCAGCACAGCAGGACCACCTTCAGCTTTACAAACGACGCTCCTAAACGCGGCGTGTTTATTTCCTAAGGCCCGTGCCACACAAGCAGAAACATCCCCATCAAATTCAGGCGCGCTGCCCAACGCCGCCGGATCTCTTCCTGAGCGGCACCCGCACACTTCGCGCTCGCAGGACGCGCACCGACCCGCCGCCACGCCCGCCCCGACCCGCCCGGCCATCCCGCCGCACGGCGCGGCCCGCGGAAACGGAAGCTCCGGGCCGCGCTGTCAGCGGAGGCCGCCGGGAGCGGGGGTGGGGTCGGTTTGAACCGTTGGCCGCTCGGCCGGGCCGGCTCCGCGCGGGCCTTTGCCCGCCGAGGGGGGAGCGGGAGCCGCCGGTCCGGCCCGGCCCGCGCGAGGCCCCTCGGAGCGCGGACTGCGAGGTACGGGCGGCGCGGCGGCGGGAGGGCCGGGCGGGGGTGGGTGCCGCTGGAGGCAGCGAATGGGAAATCCCGCCGAGCTCGGCGCGGTTAGGAGCGGTAATCCCTACGGATGGCCCCGGGGCAGCGCGCCCACAGCCGGATGCTGCTTCGGGGCGGCGCTGCTGAACGCGAGGAGGAAACGGAGCGGGGAAACGGGCTCAAACCTGCGGGCCGTCCGAGCGGGCCTCGGCGGCTGTGCCTTGGGCGGGGCGCTGCCATGAGCCGGCTGAGCCCGAGGCGGGGCGGGACCACGGCAGTGCTGCTGACCACAGGTAGCAGTGCTGCTGACCATAGCAGTGCTGCTGACCACAGGTAGCAGTGCTGCTGACCATAGCAGTGCTACTGACCACAGGTAGCAGTGCTGCTGACCATAGCAGTGCTACTGACCATAGCAGTGCTGCTGACCACAGGTAGCAGTGCTGCTGATCACAGGTAGCAGTGCTGCTGACCATAGCAGTGCTGCTGACCACAGGTAGCAGTGCTGCTGACCATAGCAGT